TTCTTTATTTCTCTCTCTACAGCCAATTTTATTTTTTAAAATTTATTGCAAGAATGAAAAGTTATTTAGATAATTTACATTTAATATCATATGGAATGCATTTTCATATCACTAGTTTATAATCATGATTTTCAAAAAAATTCTAAAATGCAAAGTTATTTGAAATATCATGTTTTAAAGTGAGTTTTTGCTAACTATATTTCAGGATAAGTTACATGTTCTTTGGGTCATGAGCCAGAGGGAGAGGGCTTTTTGTCATGTGAAACGTTTCTATACTTCCCTACTATATGGAAGATATATACTCCCCCCTCCCATCTAGCCATCCAATTCTGATCAAATGACCATTTGATCTCGATCCAATGCTTCAGATAATTTTATTTGTAATACTTTTTCTAACTAATTATATGAATGTGAAATTTAGTATGTATCATTATCTTAATGGGGCACACCTAAAAATACCATTAAATAGTATTCTCGATAAAATAAGACGACAAAAATACCCTACGAAGCTTTTAAGGGCATTTTAGTCATTTTATTTTATTGGTAATATTATTTTTAAGAGAGGAGAGACATCCAAATTTTGGTGCGAAAATGTTTTGCATAAAAAATATTAAAGATAATATAATGTAGAGGCGTGGCATTGTGATTGGGGCCATCTTAGCCGTCCATTCAAAATGAACGGTTAGGTAGGAGAAAGTATATAAGTTTTATGCCTTAGGGGAAGCATAGAAGCTTGCCCTTTGTCAATTGTATGTGAGAGTAGTTTTTGAATCTTGTCAGGGTTGGATCAGCTGGTCCGAACCGAAAACCTGTGAACCTGTGCATTTTTTTGGTCTAGTCCTGCCCTTGAATGAGGGTTCAGTTAGGAGGTAGAAAAAACATTTTTTTGCCCTCTAATTTTTTTTGTTTTTCTCGAGGAAAGAAATGGCTGCAATGGTCTTTTTCGTTTAACCAAAGGGTAAAATAGAAAAATGAATGTTTAGGGTTTTATGCTAAAATAGTTTACGATAGAGAGAGAATTAGATGCTTTCACTCTTCTCCACCTAAGGGTCTAGAGCAATGTCTTTGGTGACATTTCGGTGAGAGATTATACCAGGTAAGGGTTTTTTAGATACTTTAATATTTAGTTATTTATTACAAAAATAAATGAAAAATGTTTGTTGCCTTTTTTCCTTAGTCCTTTGTGGTCATCACAAGCTCATTGTAGATGACCCAATCTGGCTGCCTCTGGAACAACACATTGCTTGGATGACTTAAACTGCTTTGCTCTCAACCAAAGTCTTGTAGCCCTCTTAGATCTTTTTGAGCATCATGGAAAAAGTGATGGGTGAGTGTGGCCGGCCTTATGAGTGGTTGTAATAAATATTTTGGAATAATGAAACATAGACCCAATGAAAGTGTGGTCTTTCATGAACCATACTAAACGAATAACGTTTGCTGACACCAAACTTAGCTTTACGAACCAAGACAGGATGGTTGGAAAAAACCCATGTTATCTAGGCATAAAAACCTAATCGATAAGGGTTTTAATGAGTGATCCATTGATGAGGTCGGAATATGTCTGGATGAGCAAGTCGAGTGATTGTATGACTTTTGTATATGATGGTGGCCTTCAGAGATGGGGGCCAAAGCCTCATCCGCTTGCCATCACACGACATGCATATATAATAGTCGTTTCAAGAAAGAGAACAACCTTTCAGGGTGACGCTTATGCGTCACATCACGTCTAGGTGGCATCGGTATGTGTCTAGGGGAGAACCTGAAATCTACAAATTGGGATTACGACCCCGTGGTTAGACTTTGAACCCCTGCATTGACTGTGTGTCATGGGCAATACTGGGTCGGTTGAGAAAGCAAATGTAGACTGTAATCCACAATTGAAGGTGGAGTACCCTAGTGTTTATTTATTTAATTCATAGACTATATAGATCTTTTTCCCATCTAATGAATTTAATTATGTTTGTTTTAATGATACATGATTTTTAGAATTGTTATTTGAATTTTTTTAGATCTTTGGATGTTTTATTTATCAAATTTGGATTTATAAAAACAGATATATTGATTTTAGATTGATTTAATTATTCAAATTGGATTTTATGAATTTCTAAAGATTATATAAATTTATTTATTTATTTTTGCATGGGAAGCCCAATAAGCATATGAGCCCACCATTGCAATGTGGGTGTGGCCCATGAGTGCCACCTAGGGTGACACGCCCCACTCCAAGGAGCTTTCCATTTTGTGAGATAAAGCTTTGGCTTGAAGACAAAGTTAAGTGATGTTTTAAAAAAGCCTTTCCCTTGAGGAAGCATTGAATGGATTTTTTGGAAAACATGAAAAGGCTTGTGCATAATTTTGGTAAGCACAATATTATGATTGAAATTAATTTATTTAATTTCTATTGATGAGAAAATGGTTTAAAAAATGGGAGATAAATGTTCTAGCACATTTTATACGATCTTGATGGCCTATCTATGGAATGGACAGCTCAAATCTCTCATCCATAAGTCATCCAATATCAATGGTATATAATCAATCTCACAAAAAGAGGCAAGTCACGGAAAGCCCTAAGAAACCCTAATCTTATTTTTGCACTATAAATAGATGACCCATGCCCATAAATCTCTACACTAAAATCTTTCTTCTCTATCTAAATATTTCTCTCTCTTTTAGTAAATCTAGGGGGAACGCCCCAACCTAGAAAGTCTCTCTCTCTAGTTTTTGGTAAGGGGTACGCCCCACTTGTATCATCTCTCTCTCTCGCTAAAACTATCTTAAGGGGCACGCTTGAACCCCAGTTGGTATTGATCTCTCTCTCTCT